CAGCGAGTGTCTAAAACGGCCGAGGCGACTCGGAAGTGTCATGTAGGTGGACTCGTTGTGGAGTCTCAGCTTTTATGTATGAAATGATTTTATACTGTGGTGCAACAAAAGTTGTTTCTAGTAGACCATCATTACCGGATTGATCATTAAAACGTACTTCACGCAGTGCAGCAACAACAACAGTACCAAAAGATAATAATACAATTAACTCACACCGTGAAACACTTCTTAAGCATTACGGTTCTTTAGGAATGGTAGTTCTTGATTTAATTAAAAATGCTCCAATTGGTTCTTCTATATTTATTGATAATTATTTTTCATCAACTAAATTGATTAAAATATTAACTGAACTTGGATATAGAGTTGCTTGTACATTAGGACCTAATAGAATACAAGGCTGTCCCATATCAACAGAGAAACAATTTGATCAAAAGAAAAGAGGTTATTATGAATATTTCATATCACACAATAATAAATGCATCGTAATTGTCTGGAAAGATTCAAAAAGAGTATTATTGGGTTCAAATCACATAGGTACAGAACCAGAAACACTAATAAAACGTTGGGACAAGGAGAAACGCTGCACAGTTGATATTAAAGCACCACAAATTATCAAACAATATAATAAATTCATGGGAGGAGTCGATACATTAGACATGCTTGTAGCTTTACATCGAATTCCATTCAAATTTAAACGTTGGGATACAAGAATTATATGACGAATTTTCGATTTGATGGCAATTAATTCTTGGATACTTATGAATTCTCGTCATGGTGATAATAGTCGTGATTTAACAAGTCATGGGTCTTTCAGATTATTTCATTTCAAATCTGAGATTGCTAAATGTTTGTTAAGAAAATCAAAACTTCAACGATTACCATTGGCTACAGTTGATTCAATATCAGATGATGATGAAAAGAATGAACCACCAACAAAAAAGATTCGTGAAGTTTCCTCCAGTGTAACACATGTTATACGATATGATGGGTCGAATCATTGGCCAACATTTATCTCTGCTATTAATACTACTCGATGCAAGAATGAAAATTGCTCAAAAAAGACGTATTGGAAACGTCCCAAATGCTATGTTCATTTATGTCTCAATTCCAACAAGAATTGTTTTACTCAATACCATTCTGGCAAAAATTGAACTTAGTATAGACATGGATAATTCTTATGTAAAATGTGTATCTTCATTTTCTATTGTTAAAAAACTACTTAATACATTAGTTTCTATTGATTTATTATG